CCACTCCGCGTAGGTCCGCAAGGGGTGGGGGTCCGCCCGAGAGCCCAACGGCGCCGCCGCGACGCTGCCGCCCCGCCCACGGTGGTCTATGGGAAGCCGCTCGAGTTGGTCGTCTTCGGGCAGGGAAAGCTCCCGGGCGTCGTACTCGCTCCCGTGCGCGTACTCCGCGGTGTACCGATCCGGTAGCTTGGTCTTGCCGTGGATTTCCTCATAACTCATTCGCGCACGGGTTTTTTTTTCGGTGTGGGGGGGGTGTATATTTGTTCAACTATCTTGACGGAGAAACACTAAACAGGGATTGTCACATGGAGAAGGACACAGCAAAGAGGAGGGAAGACAGAGGTCACGAGGATGACTCGGATAGTTAAATTCACACGTCAATATCCATTAAAGATAAGTTTTTTTAAAAATATAAATACATACCTATATACATATATATAGGTACGTATTCACCAAACTTTCTCGGAAAGGAAGTTAAAACATGGTGGAGAAAAGGGATAACCAAATCGGCCCTTAGGCCAACCGCAGCGTACTGCCAAGACATCAACACAGGGGCTTCTCCCAAATTTGTGCGTCGTTTAATCATTTAGTAGCCGCTCATAGTCCGTGGCCGGGGGCAGTTTCTTACTCAAAGGGGGTCCCCAAAATAAGTCCTCTATAGGGGTAGCATGCCCAAGAGGGGCAAATAGCTTCTCGAAATCGTCATCGGTGTTTACCGTAGTAGTTTTAGGCTCCTTACGAAGTTTATCGGCACTTTTTGAATTGTGGCGTTCATCCTTGCGACGAGCGACTTCATCCGCTAGCATTTTTCTGGTGGAATCAAAAAAAAAGCGTTCGCTGTCGTAGTCTGCCTGACAGCTGCCTTGGTCCCCCGGCTCACTCCTAACAGTATTTTTCGCATTCAGCCTCCCCAACTGAGGTTGGTACCAACCAAAGAAAGGTTTAAGTTTGTTTTCACTCAAGGTGGGACCACAATTCCTGTCGGAAGTAGTTAGAGCCTCGGAGGTTTCATGATCGTCCACATGTTCCTTATTTATATCCATGTGTACGCTTTATCTAATCTTTTTTCTTCTTTGTTAATCACCCATAAGAAAAGAGGAGGATAAGTTGTGTCAAAGCTTATTTGTGCTGTAAATTATTTTTATTAGAGAACATTAGAGGTTATTTTGAGGCACAAAATCGACTAAAAAGACTTGTAATAGAACTTCAGTTCGAGAGCAACTTCTTCCTTCGCTGGAATCTAGACAACGATTCGGCATAAATACAGGCCTACGAACTGTTCTCTTCAGTGTACTCCACTGGGTCAATCAAACCGAGAATCTGCAGTATCCCCTCGTACATCGTATCCTTCATGTCCATCAAAGCACCCAGGGTAATGCACCCAAAAACTCCGGAAATAACGTGGGAAACCATGCTAGGCATAATTGGGGCGAAGTAAGGCAAAATAAAGTGGTGAAGCGTCCACCACGACGCAAAAAAGGAAAATACACAAAACGTGGTTACGATCGACCGTGCGATCTTGCGAATAAGGAATCCGGTGTTAACGAGGAATAGCTCCGCTTGATGCAGACCAGACCGCACTTCAGGGCCTTGGAAGACCTTCAAAAGGGTTAACAAAAAAACAAGAACGATGAGAGTGCATAGATTTTGAAAAATAACATAATAAAAGGTCCCACTTCCCTTGTTGCTTTCTGTGAATCGACTTATCCAGATAACCGGTTTATCAAGGGGTACACGCAGTTCAGCCACATCGCACATCCATTGTATTTTCCGACCTAAAATGGTATCCATCACTGGCATCGTCGCATTGACGGCCTCGTCGACCTGTTTCGCGCTGAGCGATTCTAGATCCAATACATTGGTAATCGCAAAATCCTTATGAAGGTTCCTTCCAAAAGGTGGTGTTAGATTTTTGCGATAGGAAACTAACCACAGGAGCAGCCACAGCATGACGCCGATCCCAGCGTACCGCGTATGAAATGTGTTGACGGTCAAGTTATACAAAAGAGCGGCATTCAGCCACCCGAGCGCCACCATTAACCCTAGACGAAAGGCAGCCGTGGTGGAAATTAAATTCATAAGATAGAGCAAGATGCTAAACAGCCCGGTCACGAAGACGATGCCCTCCAACGAGCAAGAATCCACAATAGCCGGCACCCAAAGCATAAGCAGCATAACCATAAACCAAATCGTAATAAGCTCCACGACATGAACGCTCACGAGGAGGGTAAGGGCAAGTAAGGAGATGATGCTGCGCAGGGCCATGCACATCACCAGGCCGCGAATGGTTTTCGTTATTGTGCAGGAGGAGGATATGGCCACCACCATCCCGGCCCGTCGTAATGGGCCGTAAAGGTAGTTGACGGTGCCTAAAAAAAACGCCGACCACCCTATCATCGCCCACGACGAGGGGGTGGGTTTGGTGCGCGAAAATACGGCGGAAACGACAGTCCAAACGGCGTAGACCACCGTCAGCGTTACCATATACCACCGCACCGCGACGTGAATTTTCAGCGGGATATCCCGAAACAACCGATACGCCATCGCGATTAGCATGGCCATAAGTTGGCCGGGAAGCACGCGGAAAAGAAACGCCCCGAGTAGTTCCATCTGAATCACGAAATGGAGACCGTACTTCGACCTGGAATGGTTGGATTTCCCCTTTCCGAGCTCTTTGAGGGCGATGCTCGCGATGGAGGTGGCCTCGGTGAAGCACTCGGTTATCACCTCTTGCATGCGAAGCATTTCGATTAAGCACAGTAAAACGCACATCAGAACCGTCAAGCCTTTTCGATCGGGGAAGAGCTGGACGAGAGGGGAGCCTATTTTGAACCTTTCCTGGCAAAAAACTTTATACAGCAGCACCACAATAATCCCGAGACCAACCCCGTATAGGGTAAAACACAGGCGTTCCTTAAAGGACAAATGGGTGAGAACCGTTTGATACTCCGGGTACCAAATCCACGCGGTGCCGAGCGAATTGTGAAGATTCATCACCAGCCAGCTAATGAAAAAGGTGTCGTGCAGGTAGATAACAATCAAAACCCCACATAAAGCCCCTATTTGATACCAACGCGGTAGCCTTTTGAGGGATTTACTTATATTATTGGCAAAATACTGCTGGTCAACCGCAGATTCCATTTTATTTTTCAAGTTTAATGATCTAATCGCCTTTAAATTTTGTTGGCTTTTTAAAAATATCTAAATGCTTTGAAGTCATAGAATCACTTTACACAAAAACAGAAACAGTACTGGAAAAATAAAGTTAAAAAGGTTACATGAATAACTAAAAAGTAATAATATGACATCGATCAAGGCAAATATAACGCCCACGTTTTTAGGAATGTGTTCGATAGTCAGCTTTCACAGGAGTTTAAAGCATCACTTAAAAAAAATAAAAATATGAAGTCACCAAGTCTCACAATGATTCCAATAACTTCCTTTTTGTGAGGCCTAAACGTCACCGAATGCTTTTTCCATTTTTTTTCGCATTCAATTTCTGTAAAACGCATCGTTATTCATTTACTAGTGCAATTTCTTTTAGTCGGTGCCATTTTGTGTGGTCGGCCCTTCTAATTGCGTTGACTACGGGATCTGCTTCGACACCTTTTGCGTTAGCGCTTGCCTGTCAAAATGTATGGTGAATTACGTCGTCGGTGTGGCGTCGTTGTTGTCGTGTTCCGTTGAGGATTCGTCCGAATCTGGTGGCGGGGGCTCCGTCGAGGGTTTGATGATGGTGCCGTTTTCGATCCATACCTCGTCAACAAAATTGTTTGGCTTGATCGGGCTTTCCACAAGGTCTTTAATGAGTAGTCGAATCTTTTCAACATTTAGATTATTCTCAAAATTGCGTGGATCGGTGAATTTTTGGGCAAAGCAGTACTGAATCGCGCACTTGAGTTTTCTAACAAGCTCGAGCGTCCCGAAGTTTGTGCGGAAAAAAATCCAGCCATCCAAACAGCCCAAGGAAAGTATATGGTCGTAGGTGATGGGCACACTATTCGCGCCCATGAGAAGCAGCGTCCAGAGCGATACATTCGTCAACCCTCTCAAAATCAGCTGCCGCGATTCCGAAGATTTCGTCAGTTCGGTGTAAAGAAAAAACGGAAATTTAATATTGGACTGCGGGGTGCGATGAATAACGGAGTCCGAGGAGGTATTTACGATACGTTCGAACTTTGTCTCGAGCAAACGGCGATTTCGGTTCATGGCGAGCTGTGGAAGAAGCCCGGAGGCCAGGACGCACTTCACCAGCCCCACATTGGATGCCTCAAACGAAAAGGAGGATTGGTCATAAAAAATTTCAGGACTCTCCGGCGAGGGGAGGAGGGGCGTTTTGGCCATTTCCGACGTACGCGCGGACCAGTCCTCCTCAGTCTCGCCAATTTCCGGTGGCTCGATGAGGAAGCCGTTCTCGCGGAGGATGGTGTAAAATTGCGATTTATGCCGTGATAACATCGACAGCAGCGGAGGGCTGAGCATGCGGCTATCCAAGATCCCCACCAGCTTTGCCGGTGTGTTCTGGTAGTAGTTCTCGATCCAGAAGTTATAGCCGTTAATCGAGGCGATCAGATCGGAGCGGGTGCTCCTGGAGAGGTCCTCGCGGTGGAGCCGCACCTCCTCCTTGTACTCCCTTCCCGGGATAAAGACATCCGCTTCGGCGAGGGCGGCGATGGTGAGGGCGGAATCCATGCAGCGCAGGACCGTCCCCATCAAAATCACCTTCCCCATCCGCGGCTCCACCGGCAAGATCGCGAGGCGCTGACCGAGCGGGGTGAGGCCGTCGTCGGCGGTGATCGCGCCGAGGTCGCGCAGCCGCCGGAGCGCGACCTCGACCTCCGCCTTCTCGGGGGGCTCCAGGGCCTGGGCGAGGAAGCCGCGGGGGTCCCCGACGCGGAGGGCGATGATCTGCAAACACAGCGAATCCAGCGGCGTACGGAGCATCTCCGGCGTCTGGAAGTCGTGCACCCGCGCGAAGTGCGCCCGGGAGTAGAGCCGGACGCAGACCCCCCGCCGCGTCCGGCCCGCCCGCCCGCGCCGCTGGACGCAGTTCGCCCGGCTCGCGTAGACGGTGCGGAGCTGCGAGACGCTGCCGTATTCCCCCCCGAACCCCCCGACGTCGCCCTCCGCCGCGGGCCCCAACCCCTGCCGGGACCCCCCTCCGGGGCGAAAGCTTTTCTCCTTCACCAGCCCGGTGTCGATCACGGCGCCGACGTCGTCGATCGTGACCCCGCTCTCGGCGATGTTCGTGGAGAGGATCACCTTGACGGCCCCGGGGGGGGCCGGCAGGAAACACCGCATCTGCTCCTCCTGCCCGACGGAGGAGTGGAGCAGGACGAGGTGGTAGACCGAGTTCCGCTCGAGGATCTCCTTCGCCCGGACGATCTCCTCCCAGCCGGGCAGGAAGACCAACACGGAGGAGGTCGTCAGGTCCACCAACCGCATCGCCTGCTCGATGGCGAACTGCAGCGTCGGGTAGTCGATCTCCACCGCGGCCTGGCGAGGGCCGGGGTCGACGAAGGGTTTGCCAGTCCGGAGCATCGGGAAGACGTCGGACGACATCGCGGCATCCGCCGACCGCGCCACCTCTTTGAGCAAAAGCGACCTGAAGCCGTGCTGCTCGCCGTAGGCCGCGAGGTCCTCGATATACAGCTCCTGGACGGGATGGTTGTAGCCCTCGATGTTGATAATCGGGGCGTTTTCGAAGTACTCCGCGAATTGGTTCGCCTGGAGGGTGGCACTCATCAGGATGAGGTGCAGGTCCGGGCGCTTTTGCAAAATAGCGCGGAGCATAATCAAAAGGAAGTCCGAGTTGATATCCCGCTCATGAACTTCGTCGATAATTAGGTAGTTAATCCCCTCAAAGAAGGGATTATCCCTCAGGACGCGAAGAAGGATGCCCGAGGTGCAGAAGTTGATGTACTTTCCCTGGCAGGTGTCGAAGCGAATGATATAACCTACCGTATCCCCGATGGACTCCAGCCGCTCCGCCGCCACGCGCCGCGCGATGGAGACGGCGCTCAGCCGGCGCGGCTGCGTGATCACGATCGAGGCCTCCCCTCCTTTGCCCTCCATCGTGAGATGGTCCAGAATATACTGCGGGACTTGCGTTGTTTTCCCGCACCCGGTCGTCCCGCAGATAATCACGACGGGGTTCTCCACAATCGCCTGGAGGATCGCCGCCTTGTGCGCGTGGATGCTGAGCTGCTCGCGGGTTTGCGCGAAGTTCTCGACGTACTCCGTCGCCTTGAGCTTTTCGTGGTGCGTTTCGAGGAGAATTTGCGATCGCTCGGCGGTGGAGATCTTGGATTCTTTGAGAAAAGACGTCGTTGGGGTCTCCTGCGAGGCGTTCGGCAATGCCGCGGTGAGGGTTTTCTCCAGTTCAGTGTCGTTGGCATCGCCGTCTGTAATATGCGTCGGGACGCTGCCAATGACGTCGTGAATCGCCTTCTTTTGCTCAGAGGTGAGCTTGATAGCGACGGTGTTTCGCGGGTTCAACGACAGGTTCTGCCGATAAAATTTTTTCAAGGTCTCAAAATAGTCATAGTGTCCGATTTCAAGTTTATCGAAAAGGTCTAGATAGGCGTTATGTTCATTTTTCGACGGCCCTTCGCCGTTCCCCTTTCCAGTCCAAACTTTGCCCTCGTCGTCAGTAATTTCAACGGTCACGCTGTAGATTTCCTTGTCCATCATGTAGCGAACTCGGTGCTGGACTTCGGGGGGCATAATGCCCTGGCAGAGGGTGAAAAGCTCCAGAATACGAATTTTCCCTTCAAGGCTAAATGACTTCGTCTGGCTGTCGTACCATAATGGGATTTTGCCCTTCTTGAATTGTCCCGATGAGGCCTTGCCGACCGAGGCGTCATCGGAAGCGAGCGACGGGTGGCCTTTTTTGGGCAACGCGATCAGTGGAATGGTGAAGGTTTCAAGGTCAAAGGTATCCGAACTATCCTCCTCCTCCTCCGCCTCGGCGCGGGTGTCCGATTTACGCTTTTTATTCCCAATCCCCGTCTTCATGGCGTAGAAGTTGTAGTTCGGATCCACCCGCATGAGGACGGCGAGCGCGTGCATCGCCGCCCGCCGCTCCGAGACCTCCTTATTCATGCCCACCCCTTGGGCTTGGGAATGCTCAAACCCGGGGATCGACACCGTCGTCCAGGAAAGGCGATTGGCGCTCGGGCCGACGATTTGCGTTCGCCAAAAGGCCGGATAGACGCGCCGCGAGACGTGGCAGTAGTCGCTCAAAAGGAGCTTCGCCTCTCCATCGGCCGGGAGCACCTCGGCCTCCTCGAGGGCGTCATCCAGGATGTCGATCCCGACCCGCGGGGCCCGCCCGATCGCGAAGAACTCGTTGTAGACCGACAGCTGGCGATCGGCGATGAAGGTCGCGCAGCTTTCCACATAAACCCCCCACGACTCCTCCGTCAAGGAATCCCCGACGGGGCGGTGGGGGCGGCTCAGGCCTTTGGCCACCGCGGTCGTCAGGCGAAGCGGAAGGGGGAGGCCCTTGGCCGTTTGGATCGCCTTCGCCAAGCGGCTTTTGATCGCCGCGGTCTGCTCCTCGTTCGGCTTCGCGCTCGGGGCGGAGCGGCCGAGTTTGGCCACCCTTTTCGCATGCCAGGCCTGCAGCTTCGGGAGGTTGTCGAAGATCGGGATGCCGATCGCATCCAACAACCGCTCCGCGTGCATCCACAACAGCACCTCCGAGTCCCGCTTGCTGGAGGCGGTCCCTTCAACCTGCAGCGTCTCCACCTCGTTCGCTAATTCGTTTGGCAAAGGCAGGTTCCCCATCGCGGTATGCCAAAGCGCCCCTCGGAAAAATTCATACTTGAACTCCACCTCCACGGATTGTATTTTTTTCTGGCGCCGTAAATAGTACTGCACGCGCAGCTTCGATAGGGTGTCCAACTCATCTTCCCAAATCGGGGTGTAGGAGAACTCGTTCGCGTTGGCTTTCAAGGCGACGCTCGGATCATCGCCCGGGCCACGATCGTCCTCGGATTTTTCCGCCTGAGCAGGTGATTCCCCGTTGCTGGGGATATCGCTGGCGGAGCCCTTATTCAACTCCCCCGCTATCTGCTCGACCGCCTTCGAGGGGGCCACGTTCTTCGCTGCGGGGAACCGCGAAACGGAGATCGCGCGGCTTCGTTCCGGCCTGCGATCCCCATTCGATGCGAATTTGCCTTTCAGCCGTAATGGCGGCGGCGAAGCGGTCTCCGGCGGCTTTTCCTCGTTTGGCCCTATAGGCGCCCAGCGGCCCCGCTGCGCCGAGGACTCCGCATGCTGCAATTGCTTTTTGGCGTCCGTGAAAAGGCAAATCCCAAGCGTGTCGAGAAGTAGCTCGGCGTGCATCGACGCCAAATGGACGGCCTCCGCACTGGAAACGGACTCCCCGATCGCGATTCGATCCCCATAGCACTTCGACAGGGGAAGCTGGCCTTGGCAGCGGTAATAGTCCCCCCTCTCGTCGTCGGAGTTCACAAGCTCGGTGGAGAAGACCTCTTCGAAGCGTCGACCCAGCACCGCCAGGTATAGGATGATGCGGTCTTTTGCGAAGAAATCGATCGTCCGGGGGGAGGGCAGGGCCATCGCCGCCGTGCTCCCCTCCCTCACCCTCTTCTCCTCGGCCTCCTCCTCCTCCGGGGATTTGTGGGCGACGGCGATGAACCCGTCGGGGGTGTCCGGCTCGAGACTCCAGCTTTCCCGCGGGACCGTCTCCCGCATGAGGAGGAACTCCACCAAAGGCCTCGGCGGATCGCCGCCCCTGAGCTGAACCCGCTTGACCC